GAATTGAAGTCCAGACCTCTTCAAGTCGCCAAGGTTGAGGAACACTGGTCTAGACCAACTTTCCTCAATGTGGTGTCTCTACCTGAGACAGACTATAATTCCCTCCTATTCACTCATCAGTAGAGTCTGGGCACTGATGCTTAGCACTAAAATAGTCAGTATTTATTCTCTGTAAACCTAAATAATTATATTCCAGTCTTAGGATTATTCAAGCTTTGTTTCCACGGTAGTAAAAGCCACATGAGCCGGGAATCCTGGGTTTTGTAATCCTGGCACCATCTGGCGACCGCTAAGTCATAGAACGTGAAAGACATGAAGCTGCAAGGCAAATATATTTCACTTTATTGTTGAAAATTAGAAAAGAATTCAACCATGGAAAATTAGGGTTATCTACTGCCAGATCAGTGTAGTTCCATTTCATTTTGCATTTTGAAGAGTAATAGTCAGTCTGACATCAGAAAAGAGATTAAAAAGTATTCTCTCTCAGTACATCTGCATTTCTGATCTTTCAATTAAATACTTCCCTTCTTTTTCTTCTCTTGTATGCAATTATATAGTGCCTTGTTAGGCTGATCAATATGCTATTTGTTATTTAATTTGCAATACGTGCCAATAGCCTTTACAGAGGAATAACACATTAACAGTCCTACTGAAACAATCTGGTGCACTGTAATATATGGAATATTACTTCAGACTCACACGTACTAGTATTGTACATCGTATTTCAAACCCTCTGAACACGCTGCATTTCTACAGCAGCAAGTTGCTAAACATATAAGCTTTCATCATTAGGGCCTGTGGTTGTTCAAGGCGATAGACAAGGCTGTTCTTTATTCCAATTCTTAATGGGTATGTGGCCCCTCTTTTGATCATGTTTAGATCAGAAATTCCCATTAAGTTCACCAGAATGTCCTCTGAGAAGACATAGAAGTTTGTGATGAAAGAATTAAAGGCTAAAAAGGGGGGCTTAGCAATGCAATCTTAAAATACATTGACACAGAAATAGGTCCAGGGGGTCCAACGGGTAAGAATAAAAGAATGAAAGTGAAAAAAGGGGAAGTGATGCTTAAAATAGTTTTAAGTGCTAAGGAGGTGGGGAGACAGAGATAATGAATGAATGAATGAATGAATGAATGAATGAATGAATGAATGAATGAATGAATGACGCAAACTTCCCACTGTCTTGGAAACTCCCAGAATTCTCTAACAACCTGGCCAAGGAACATTCTTGCTAGGAATTCTGGGTACTGTAGTTTCAAAACATCTGGACCTGGGCTGGGGAAGGCTGCTTTACTTCAAGCTTCCCCAGTGAAACTCCCATCTCAACCTGCCCACAGGGCTGCGTCTTCCCGCTTTTTTGCCGGACATTTTTTCTTTTTTTAACTACAGTGGCGAGGTATAGCACCAAGTTCAGTGACAGCTATGACATCAGCCTTCTGTCTGCCATCTCAATTTCCACCACATGTTTCTGGGCAAAGGAAGATTCTGCCATTCTGTGCCATCAGAGGCCAAAGGGTATTCTCTTCCAGGCGTACATCCTTTTTTGCAAACATTCTGAACACGTAAATCCAACGTATAAGACCACTTTTAGCAATTCTGCATTTCTAAGTATGGTTCACAAACCACCTTGGAGTTTAGAGCGACATTGGAAAGGTGGTTTTTCTTTTAATATGAAATCATAAAGAAATTCATATATGAAATTCTTCTCTCCTAAGGCTCACCCAAGCTTGGAGCGTCAAGCCCTTGTGTGCTGTCTAAAAAGTAGCACTGGGAGCATGAAAAATACTCCATTTGGTTCCATTGTCTTCAAATTTAATTGCAATCCAGTTTAGCTAATAGACGGACTATGTGGTTTGATTTAGGATTTGATCTCTGGAAAATAACTCGGTGTGCCGACGTAGCATCAGCCTGCAATGCTTTAAAGCAGCTATGTCTTTTCCTCCAACAAGGCAGTTGCTCTCCGAGCTAGCACAGGATCCTAGGAAAACAAAACTGCTTTAAGGAATTACAGAGAGTTGCTACATTCACGCTCTTAAATGCTCCGAATCGGAATCCCTGCACAGCCCTAGTTAATACAATTACTTTCTAGTAAATTATTGAAATGTTTTTTCTACTTCTGACACATTAAAAAAAACATTCTTGGGTAATATATCTTGGAACCTGCCAGCAACCACAGCCAAGGTTTTCAGAGGTCATGTGTATCTCTAAGCCCTTCAAGTTGGGCTCTGTCGTCTCAGGTTCAGAAAATCTTTTCCTGCACTTGAAAGAAGGCTACTCTGTGGCTGCGTGAGTCCTCTCGTGTTCACACAGCTCTGATTTTCGGCTGAAGCTTTTCCCGCAGTACGAGCATGTGGTCTTGTGGATCCGCTCATGCAGTAAGAGACGTGACCCGGACATGAAGCATTTCCCACAATGCAAACATGTGAACGTGTCTTGTCCTCGATGGATCATCTGGTGCACTTTGAGAGAGGTGTAGGTCGCAAACTTTTCGCCACAGGCTGCACAAATATACAGTTTCTCTCCGGTGTGTGTTTTCTGGTGCTTAAGGCAGTCTGACTGCCGAATGTAGCATTTCCCACACTCGGAACACATGAAACATTTTTCTCTGTCTGCGCTGAGCCTCCCTTTAGGAATCCAGCCAAAATTATTCCCACAGTGGGAGCAGATATGGGAGGACTGCCCTGCACGGATTCTCTTTTTTTCTCCACAGTGGGAACATATATACAGTTTCTCATCCACGTGGGTCCTCTCGTGGGTCAAGAGATCGGAGCTGCTGCTGAAGGCTCTTTTTTTCTCCACAGTGGGAACATATATACAGTTTCTCATCCACGTGGGTCCTCTCGTGGGTCAAGAGATCGGAGCTGCTGCTGAAGGCTCTTTTTTTCTCCACAGTGGGAACATATATACAGTTTCTCATCCACGTGGGTCCT